CCATATTTGTTTAGCCCTCGGTTACTCGCAACGGCTTTTGCTCGTAAAGAAACGCGCTGGTGGCATCATTCGGGCTCCTTCGCAGCCTTCTTCAGCTGGTTTGACTAGTTTCTTCCCCATAAGAGTTTCGCTCGGTTCTGCTCTTTTCTAAGCCGCTGTTCATTTCCGTTTGCGAATTGAAGTGGTCGAAAATGTATACGGATTTCAGGCTGCACAGGACTGGCCACTTAGCGCTTCACAAACACAATACACAGCCTGTTTCAACGTGCACGCATCTAGCAGTTTGTTTCCGGGTAATTGGTACAGGTGCAGCAGCGCTATATATATACTCATTTACGCTACATATCCACTTACCACAACCGCTGAGGCCATTTTGTACATTCTGTAAATCCACTTTCGTGGCTACTCGTATAAACAACTTCGAAGCAACGAACGAAACGGTAACAACCCAAACCCAACTCGAATGCTTCAGTCCTAAGCCCATCAACTGACGATGCGTATCCTCAATGCCTCGAGGTTCTTCCTCTTTCCATTTAAGACTGCATCTTCAGCCAGTCAGATAGCATAGCTCTAACACCAATCCTTGCTTCAACGTTTCGTCGCACCGCAAATATCATCTGCGTGCGATGATCGCAAAGAGATGATGCATAATATTAGATTGGGCAGCCGCGGTACGCGCACGATCACTCGTCTGGCAGTCATTGTGTCCGTATCGCTGGCTGAATGGTTGGGATAGATGTACTTACTGACTGTGTTCGCTGTGCGTGCTTGAATGACATCGTCGTCGTGCGTAACGATCGCATCGTATTGCGATTGGGAGCTGGCCATAAAGCGGGATGGTTCTTGCGGGTCCAATAGAGGAAGAGATGGCGAGAGAGAATTTATCTCGCTCAGTCTCGTTTCCCCAACGTTATAGTACCTAGGTTATAGACGTATTCTATGACTCCATGAAGTAGACCAATAGGTCTTGATTATTGTTTACAACAGAGCTATGCACGCGCGGTGGAATTCTCGCTGCTGGCCAAGCAGTGCGTAGATTCTCTGTAGACTTGCCGGGGCGATGCGGAACATGGAGCAATCGGATATAGAAGCTCGAGGAAAATCGTTGTTTGTTCTCGGTGGTAATGCCGATCGTAGATATCAACATTGATTATGATTTACACTCGCACTGGCTTCCGTTGATGATATCTTGGAGATGGAAAAGGATCGAAATGTGTTGCGTTGGCATAACTATAAGAGTGCTTTTTTTAGGATAGTATTATAATCAGAATCGTTATAGTTGACCGTGCTTATAATTGCCGCCTGTCTCTGTTACACGTGGTTTAGATCCTTTAATCATCAAATAACAACAAAAATAACCCCCAAATGGTGTAACAGTATTGGAAATTTTAGCGAAGGTCGCAATCGCACAAGAATACACTGATGGTTAGAGTAGTTCTACGGATTTTCATATTACGGATGGCATGTAATGCTGTTGCTGTCAGTGCTGAGCGGAAAAACTTCTTATTTACGGAGTTCGAACCCATAATTTCACGAAACTCCTACGCATCTGGTATTCTGTCATCCGTAGTTGTTTTGTTTGTATCATTCAATACTGTTTTCTTTGATATTTGTTCCTATATTTATCTGAGCCTAAAATTACCCGCATATCCCAGCGATGCTTACATTATACAACTGTTTTTCTACATTCTTATCGTCAATCATAACTAGGGCTATGTATCTAAGTGTTACCTATAGCCTGCAGTAATATGCCGTTTTGACGCCCCACCATTCCCGATTGCCATTTACAAACGCTGCTTCTCTACCGTCAGATTACTACGACTACTACTACTGCTACTACTACCACAGTCTTTAGCGCTACACGCTATGGTTGCGTATATCATGGAATCATTTACTGTTTTAGACATAGTGACCAGTGCCCAAGTGTGAAAGACAGCGGGAATCTTAGTTGGTAGGCCTTAAATTAGTTTTATCACTAATGCCGCCGTGGTTTGTGGATGATTTCTGAGTTGGCTTCTTTCCCTTCCTCCTGCTCCTCCTCCTCCCCCTCTTTTTTCTTCATTTTTCTCGTCGAGCTCAGATCAGCGTTAGGCACCAGCTGGCCCTGTACGAAGTTTTGGGTTTAACTATGGGCTCCTGGCAAACAGGGAAAGGGCCCTTGCTTGATCTGGCTGGCGAAGAGGCTGCCTTTGCAGCGCGCCTATCGGCATTAGTGCAATGCTTTCGTTGGTGCAGCCGTTGGTTCTCCTTCCCGTGACGCAGCCGTGGCGCACTTTGCTTCGGCTGACCGATGCCTACTCCCATGCTGCCACAGTCATTTCTTCGCTTCGTCGTAGTGAGTGGGCTGGCGGTCCGCAAGTCAGCTCACGTCACGCTCCGTAAAAGCCATAAAGTGACCTTTTGCCGAGGCAACGAAAACGGCCGCAGTGGAAAAGACGACGCTAGCAAGAAGCGAGTACCGCCAGTCGTAGTAGCAGAAGCCTCCATAGTGACGGCAGCGGCGGTGACGGCGGTTGCCAGAGGTGTGCTCGCCGTGAACAGCAGCGTGCGTGGGATTCGCTAAAGGCGAGGTTGTTTCTGGACATGAGGAGTGGAAGTTGGACGGAAAGCAAAGAGGGGAAGAAGTGGGAAGGACTTGCGAGTGCAAATGGAGTGAGCGCTGGCCGCGGTAGAAGACGGCGCACGGGAGTACAGAGACTCGGATATAACCTTCACGGCACCACAAACGTGCCAGCTTTACAGCTACGAACGAGTGTACTCCTTCCTAGCGAAAGTGAAGCTTCCCTTGGTTTTAAAGGAAAGAACACCAGTACACGATAGAGAATGGCAGGCGGGGCTGTTCGACTTAGAAATCCGTCGAGAATGGTGGTAAAAATAGATACGTCCATTTATGTTTTTATGGAGCTTCTCTGAGGCGCAATGTTTGTCTAGAAAAAAAACTTGGGCGAGCATACGATGACGACTAAATTTGACGATGATTCTCGTATAGAGCTTAGTATAAGTCAGTAATACGAGTATAGTAAAAGATGTGGGAGACCGAGCAGCGAATGGAACAGTTCTGCTTCTTTGCGCGAATAGCACGGCTGTTAACGGCTATATTTACACCGTATGATGTCGTATTGGATAAAGGGCCGCGAATAAAGTGCATGTAGTTTTTCGGAGGGCTACCAGTTCCGTTGGACAGAAACGATCGCAGGCAGAGGCAACTACGATATGCGAGTGCTCGAAATGGCATGCTCGGTATGCTTCACTTAAAAAGATGATAGTCCTGTTTAAGTTATTTATAGTATTTATAATTCGATATTACCATACGGTGTCGAAGAAAGGATGACTGAGTTTTATGAAGAAAAAACGACAGCCCTTTGTAGTTCCAGCCAAATTAATTTTAACATGGAACTTTAACAGCACTTATAAGTTGTCACCAAAACCGTCTACGCAAGGCTGTATAGTGTAAAAACGTTGCAGATAGACTGATACAAGCTCGCTTTCTAATAACTGTAAAATTACCCCGAAGACACCAACTCACATCAAACGAATAGTAGTTTCATTTAATTTACAACTTAAACAATCACCTTCGGGCTAGTATAGTGAATCGATTGATAGCGTGCGTCATGGCACTCAAGAGATCTGTGAAACCTAGCTCAGGCGACATTTGTTCGCAATAAAACACGTTCTTATTATGATACTACTATTGTATATTTATCGATTTGTTTTGTTAATTAACCAGCCCAACTGAACACAAAAGATGACTCAGCTTGCACTCTGATAAGAACGATACTAACCGTGATTATCTGTTCCCTAAAAACATACACAGTGAACATGTGAAGGCTAGGTGAAGAAAATATATTCTAAGAAGTACATTCGGTCGTATATCAGGATAGGCATCAACTGAAGTGTAGGTCATGGCAGTCGTCCTCGACGAACTCAATACACTGACGCACATTTCGGATTGCATTGAATCTGCTTATGCCCGATTTTAGTAGACGAGCCTTATGTCGACAATGGTCAAAAACTTCCCTCACGTACCAGATCTATTTCAAAACGTCTCCACCTTATTATTATTACTATTATATTAGTAAACAATATTAAAATATACGCTATGCGTTACTGTAGGCGCTACTTCTGTAATGCATTTAAAGTCTGCTTGTTAACAACTATGTTTAGCTTTGGTATCTGGTGATGCCCATAAAGTTCACGTTTCTTCAGTTTGCCCATCTGGCCATTTGCAAGAGATATAATACAACAAACATAGTTCTGTGCTATTCGCGTAATTGGCCGTGTCGTGACTGCTCGTCGATAATAACCGACTAGTTGCTATTTTGAGTGACCGCGAGGCCACCGGAGAAATAGGAAATCTCTAAGCGTTTTAACATATTTCTTTGGCGTTCTTCTTTGTCAAACATACTGCCTCCGCGAGGGCAGAATAAGCGGGCTATTCTACAGGCCTCTTTTTCGTCGCATAGCGACTTATAGTCATCAGTCAATCCGACGGGCTACTCATAGTTGAAGTGTGAACTCTAGCGCTAATGCTAAGACGGAATACTGTCTAGTTGGCCTGGTTGCGACATCACCGCAAGAATTCGAGAATGACGAGAACAAGGATCAGCCGCATAACCCCCGGGGAGGCGGAATGGTTGATTATCCCGCACGAAGTCCGAATTTAATTTTTGACAGGGTGCTTCTCTTTTGGCCGACAACTGGAATTTGATCATTCGAACGGCAATGCGCTTACAGTTGCGCTTCGGTCTTACCCTACAACAACGGGACAACGAAATAGCTTGGATAAATTTTGGCGAAAAAATAAATTCGTCTTTCACTAAAGTTAAAAAAAGATTCAGTTTACCCTTTCATTGGTAAATGGGTTTGGCTCGTCAGTAACGGTGAACTGTATTTAACCCTCTGGAAAAGTTCAAAGAATTAATCGGTGTTTGACCGGATGCAGAATCACTATATTTGTATTATTATAGTGTCTAACTTTTCGGTTTGGGTTATTTTTGCAGATATTTATCGGCCGGGGTATTGAGTCTGCGTCGTGAAGGTTCACTGCAATCTATGCGTGCAAAGTGGTGGAACGAGCAACATGCCGGGCGTCATTGTCCAGATCATCTACACATTGTCAGGTAAATTACTGCTTCGAAGAAAATACTTATGTCTCACGATATGCAAGTGGTCAGGCCCAGCTTCTACTTATTTTATTCCGACCGCAAAACTGCTAGTAATTGTTGGGCCTTTTAATTAGCGGCGTAGGGCGTCCATTACACATTCGAAAAGGGTGTTCCTTGAGCTCTATTAGATCACTCGGAACGAAATAACGTGTGGGAAAAGTTAAGTATTAAACTACACGCAATCAGCGTTTGACAGTAATTTGATAGATTTCACGTGTAGTATTCAGCTTTTCATAATGAGCCGATTAAAGATCGCCAGAGAATAATACGTTTAGGGGCAAGAATATAGTTTTTTCATCAAAAATCCAACGGAAGCGTCTAACGTGTAACTACAACGTATTCGCCGGGAGATCGAGAATTACAGTACCTTTAACGGAAGGACCAGTTATCGTGGTTACAAAATCTTTTGCATTCTCTACCAAATGAGTATGAGATTGCCCAAAAATATGTGAAGATGAAGGGGAGGAGTAGGAAACAAGATTTTCATTAATTGGATTTAGAATAGATGAGAACACGTGCGATGTAAATTAGAGAAAACGCTCTGTGCAACTATTATCAACAAAAAATTCGCTTGGATCACGCATTCGCTGTATACGTGACAAGGGTCAGTCTGCGTCGTCCACCAGAGAACGATTAGATGTGAGAATGGCCTCGGACAGAAGAGAGCCCCAGATTGGGGTGCATGCTGAATAAGTTGATCTTCATATATGCAACGAATATCAGGTGCATTTACTGGTATGACATGCTTCCCGAAAAGCAAACAGTCAATGCCGCTAGACATTTAGGATTCCTGAAAAGCCTCAAGGATGGCAATCGACAACATAGGGTACGCCTATTCCACCACTACTTTTAATTTCTACGGCTTGCTTTGAAAAGAGACACAGGTATGCAATTGCTTCAGTCCTCGTAATTTCTCGCTTTTAGTCGACACCATTTAATTTGCTTTTTTATAGCTTAAAAAGGCCACGAATCATAGGCTCAAATGGGTATTGCAAATCAGAAGAACTCCCAAAGCGTTGGCTAGCTACAACGTGAAACCAACAAAGACGGGTCTATCACCGAACACTGAATATCGCTCGTCTACCTGATGCCATCCAAAAATTAGTCAGGTTTTTCTGTATGCTACGTAGACCCGGACAAGTTAATGCATAATAGCTGATATTTCATACTTGCCACAATCTGATCGGTGTCCATTAATAAAAACAGTCTATATATAATTTTGTAACAAATAGTTGATCTGTTCTTGACTACGTTTGCTTGTAGGCCCACTCCGTTTACGGTTCGTTTCGGTCGGGTAAACATGTTGTTTGTCTTCTTGTTAGGTGGCATCATTCTCTCGGTTGCCATCACAATTTACAATTACGTCCGAAAACAAATGACTATTGAGGACAAAAACGTAAGTACATTGCAAGTATTTACTATTGCAGGCCAGGCTGGCGCGATATTTTTCGAAAACATGACCATGCTTTTTCTACTAGATAACAAAGAGCATTACGCGCTACGTCACATCATCAGAACAGTGCCAAGGGCATATTGTGAATGCTTGAAATCAAAAATTAATTTGTATACGTCTGTTTTACGCTAGCTTTATCAATAAATTCATTCTATCTTTCTACTCCAGGAGTTTCGGTACTTTTTACCGACGCTAATCCGAGAAGTTGAAACATTGTTCCGAAAACGTCCAGTTCCAACTAATCCCTCCCCGGAGCCGACAGCAGCTTAAGTTTCAACAGCTGAAAGCAATCGCATATTTAGTGATGATGCAAATACTTCATCATATGGCATAAGATACACTTTTGAAAAAAGACATATATGTTAGGTTTAGTTATTACTATGGAATCGTTTTTTAAAAAATAAGTGAACAGATTTGGGTTAAACGTTTTTCGTGGATGTGTCAAGAAACGGTTGGGTGCTTAGAGAATTGTTAGTAGAGGAGTTTCTGCGTCACAGAAAAACGGTGTTTAACGAATATGATCATTTATTAGTTATGTTATCAACTATTATATACAACTGTGCCATAATTCAACTAATCTATAGTAGTATGCAACAGTTCTGAAGATGTACATTAAACATATTTACTGTTTTGGTATTATATTCGGCTTACTGAACCAATAGAGACAATGTACTCATATTTGTTTGAATTTTTCATTGATAAAGGTAATGGCTTAAGTAGTGTCCTCTATCAATTTACTCAGATTTCAAATCAGAAATGGAAATGATAATTAACTGTAGTAACTAGTAAGTATTTTTCCGAGAGACAGATACGTTCAGCTTGTTCACGATGTGTTCATTAACGAGAGGATACAAAATATCATGCAGGGATATCAGGAAAATACTGCAGAGTCCCTATGCGGCTCTGACAATGCAGGCAGGTGACACGCTTATAGCACTGAGTGCATATAACTTTATATGCTCAATCGTACGCCATATGTTTGTCCGGAAGAATATATGTTAGTTATTCCTACAATACGAGCAAAAGATCAATTTCGTTGTCGGAATTTTCTACGACGATGGCGACCATGCAGCATGGTTTAAAAGTAGTCTGTTTCGCAGGTATGTTAAATTACAACGGTGCAATGCTGATATTACATACTAAAAAAAACATAGTTTACTGAGTTAGCCGTCAGAGAGATTTGCACAGAAAACACTATTTACTGTTCTTCGTTATGCCATAGAGTCTCTAGTGAGGCAAGGCTCGAATCCATATAAAACTTGTTACGATGATCATAATGAGAGCGAAACGATTATGTGTTTCAACTTTCTTTTTTCAAAATTATTGAGATACTACCAGCGCTACGGACAGTAATCTTTTACGCGTTCTACGTAGAGGAGCAAATTTTATTTACGTGAAGTATATCGTGTGATGGGGGGGGGGGGGGGTTCGAACCACCAAGAGCCGACATTGAGTTGAAGGTCTAGTGATGATACAAAGGAAACCAATTGCACAAGAAGATATCAAGTTGACGTGAAAGAAATGCTTAGGATAGTTAGATTTGTTCAAGTGTGTGCGTGCATCTGCATGTGCTAAGTTTCAGACACATCAACTACTCTATTATTGTATTATAAAAAGGCAGAAAGAGCTTCCTTGAAAAGGTTAGCGGTATATTAGCATATTAAGGCTTCAGGTGAAGACCATGGAACGTGTCGACAAGCGGTACCGGCGGCGCCGATGCTAGACACAGCATTGTGATGCGACTTGACAACATCAACAGCCGAAGCGATAAGGGGCAACGGATTTTCTAAAGGGTACGCTGTAGCGCTCTACCAATCAATGGAGAAATCTGCCACTCAATGAACACAGGCACATTGCCAGTGCTACGGAACACATGGGAGGAACAGTGGTTTCGTCAGGTTAAATGAGCAAAGAGGAAAAGGGGGTGGCGGAACGCACAGGCGATTAAGGCAAGTCTTAATTAATACAATGAAGCTTCGATGGCATCTAGCTACAATGGGCCGAGCATCACCCGAGCTTCCTTCAAGCACTTGAATCGGGTACGAGAAACATATACACTGAAACAAAGGAAGGAGCTGTTTTATTAGTCGACGGTCGCCGTCCAAATCTAAGTAATTTCCCAAAATGACGATGTCAAGAACGTAAATCGAATAAACTTCAATTGAACCCTCCGTAATTAGGTGATATGACACAGTTGAAGGGGTACACTTAGAGTACTTTTGTTCCATATATTACTACTCTTGATACTCAATATTATATTGAAGATGTTTAAGAAACCTCAGTGTCCCGAAGTCTATTTACCTTCGGCTCATTTAACATTACAAGAATGTTACATCTTTTCGAAAAAGTTTATCCCTGCATATGGTGAGAAAAACGGGCCATTAATTGGCGACTTACAGTATAATGGCTTCGGACTAGTACCTCTATACCTTGAATGTGTCCGAAGTGACGGCTTTCGTTATTTATTGTACCGGAACTAGGTGACCGTAGCTCATTTCTCGCAATAAAGTTCTTATCACTAAAATTATGCTAATTCAAAAGAAATAACTTCCTGTGTGACACCTGACTGCCTGCACCTGCGTTTATTTTATTTTTTTTGCAATTTTATTGACGCGCAGTTCACTTTTACACACAACAACTAAGAAGGACAAGTAAGAGGTCTCCGGAAAGGCCAGCTTCTTCGGTCCGTTTTTACGCACTCGTTGCTCAGTTTTCGTTAATTTGTAATTCACCAGATGTCGCTTCGAACATTCATCATTTTTTTGTGCCGGGTGCTTGATCGTTGCCTAATTGACCAAAGTATCTGTGTGGTAACAGGTGAAATATCAGACGCGCGAATGGCTGGTCTACATTCGGCACTTGTTAGAGAAGTATTTCGCTCTTAATTTACTTTACATCCCTAAGATTAGTAAGCAAGCACATTATCATTATAGGGACGCGCTCCTTCATTATAGGGACGTGCACCCTCCTTCGAAGGGTGCTATGACCAATAATAGTTCATAAATAGACTTTTTCTTGATTTTAGTCATATTTTCTATCTAGAACTAAACAAGCACACCGAACGCCCAGCGTTATTTTAGCGCAATTTAAATGCTCAATGTAATTTTTCATTGCAAGCGAACTTTTCCTGGCAAGTTTTTTTTTCTAAAGTTCTTTCGTCGGCCCAAACCAACCTAGAAAAAACAAATAGAAGCGGTTCTGCCATATTTAAAATACCCCCATATATATATAAATTTTACTTGCTTTATATTGTCACACTATATTGTCCCGAGCGAATGAGCCTAGCTTTCTTATCGCGATAATTCTTATAGGATTCGTAGTTTCATTCGGCGCATAACTTCATCAGTAACTCCACTTAATATATTTATATTAAATTTATTTTTGTGGATAATGAATAGTATCAAACGTTTCGCCACCTTTGGCTAATAGCAGGCACAAAGGCGGTTACACGTCACCGGACCTCAGAGAGAATTGCGGAAATCGTTCCTATCGCCTAATACGACTAGAAACACCATTTCTGCGCTACCCGCTCCTTTAGTTAGTATCAATAAAGGACTATATCGCCTACCTGTTACAATCTTGAAGAGTGGTCCTGTCGACAACGCACCTATCCTCAGCCTCAGCGGCCGAGCGGCCGAATGTAGTGCCATTCTTGCTACCATTGTGGATAGAACCGAACCTTCTCCATTCCATTGAGTGAGTAGTGAAGGTGGCACTCCAATGAGCGGTAGCTATTGTGACGACGGGATTGGGTGGAATGGCTGTCCTACTTATGGTCCAGGTCTGGCTGCTACGTGGTACAGCCCCTGACATACTCACTGCAACGGCTCTTGTCATCCAATCCGACTGAAAGTCGCGCCAAAGTCTCCTTTGTACAATGCAAAAGCGAACGAAGCGCTTTCTTGCACCATTCGCACATTCGGTGAACAAGGTCGAGATCGGAAGGGCGAAGGCTTAGCCAAGTACCGTAAAGTAGTGCGCCCCAACAAGCTTCAAGCTGCTGTCGAATGGGCTTCTATTCCGCTATGCCGTGGTCGGCCGTTGCTCACAATGACCTCTGACGCACTACTGTGCTTTTCTCCGCATTTGCTGCACGATCTTAATACCGAATACCCCTTCTTACTGTTCATCTGTGCAACGAAAGAGCTAACACTTCGAAGCTGTTCGTACGCTTTCTTGCTTTGTTGGGTACGACGCATAGCCTCTTGCCTTTTACGTCTACTGATCCGGCCACTAGGTATTTGTTCCTTGTTCGTTCGCTTTGTTGTGCGTATATATATGTGAGCCCATTTTTTCGCACAAGTCACTCACGTTGTATCGTCGTACTGTACAGTATATGGCGTCCGCCTAAAGCCGCAAATAAGGTCCTTATTTGAAGCAGTATTGGTGCAATGCGTACGTTATGTAATTTACGCGTGAATTAAAAATAGATACCGATTGATAAACAAACGGCCACTTCGCTGGTGATGGCGACGCAAAGCAGGCATTGCCCAGATTCTCTTTTTTCATTGTTGGGTGAAGCGTCGGCAAAGATTCCGAGTTGTAAACGACAGATAAACGTTAGAACCATAAACAGTTTACGCATTTCTTGAAAAGCTGCTGGTCGCCACCCTTTCAAATAGCTGAAGGAATAGACGGACCTTTTTGGATGATGATGATCTTGATGAAATGATTTTCAACCGTTGAATATCGTTAGAGCCATGGCTCTGTACTAAAAAAGTATCAGTAAATCCCGGGTTTCTGCAAACATCTTGTTCTTATTGTGTCCAAAAAGAGCAGTTTATGGTGCCAACTTACGGTACTAGCCGATCACAAATATCTCACCGTATCCCTGTAGGAAGGATGAACACTTTAGGACGAACGCGATGTCCAATGATCTGATATTATAGGAATACCATAGGAAATATGCTTTCTATCAATCCTCAGCTATAGTGTACCTGGTTTTGATAATAAACACTGGTTTGTTACGGTACACAAGTTCGACTTTCCAATGAAATCAACGGCCTGTCAATTAGCGGACAATATCAGCGAACGTTCGCAGAGTAGAAGTTCTCCTTAACTAGTTAGTATGATTCGAGGAAAGCAGCGTGAATAAGGAAGCTGTTCCTTTTCTAGTGCACTCGTTAACACAGCGATGCAATGTTGGATCATAGCGGTAATAAAAATAACGATAATAATTATTATTATTATCACGGCTGTCAGTACCCCGAGTGTTCTTATCGTAGACATATCCACACGTAGTCATAGACAAATGGCATTGACCTTTTTACAGGCTGGCACAAAGCAGAGACATAGGGTCCATTGTCTGTCGAGGCTATTGACAAGGCCATCGTTGTAATATTCGTTCTGTCTCGATCGTCTTCCTAAAACGATTCATTTCGCACGCGTTCCTGCTTGCAGCCTCTCTTTTGCTGCTTCCGGACAGTTCCGCTATTGCTGCGTGGGGTCACTACACAGTCAGTTCGGATCATCGTGTATCTTCCTTTTTGGCGCTGAATTATAGAAAGGCCGCAAATAGACAATGGCCAAGGCAGGTTGCTTCGAGGATATTACACTATCTATTGAAGGCATAAATATATTCGCGCTAATCCGATACTTTCTGGACGTGGGAATGGCTGTATGTTGATTGCAGTAGCGCGTAGTGAACGGTTCGCCGAAATTTGTTATCATGCATAGTTACCTGCATGTATGTGTATATTGTTTTACATTGAAAGAGGGTGTTCCAAGAACAACAACATTTTTTTCCTGGACTGAGTAGACGAAGCGCAACGAGTTTATATATATAGCCCGATTGTATAGCCGATAGCTATATAATCGAGCTTGATAGGGGGATATACTCTATTTTTTGCTATCCGTGAGCTTGAACATATGACCAAGCAATCTGTTAAATATCATCTCTGCATTACGTTTCTTTTTTTCTGCATGCGAATTTTTTTAAACAATTTTTCAAACCCCACTCACACATCCTTGCGTCAATCAGATCATGATACACTCATCCTTCATATCTCCCGCTTTACATCTATGACGGTATCATTTACATTGATTAACTATGCTACG